AAAAAACAAATTTAGGGACAGTGTTCACCTTTGGAAAGAGAATGGGAGGATTAGGACTAGAAAGGGAAGCAAAAAAGATTCAATGTCTCTGATTCTATTTCTTATATTAAAAGATTGGCAGCTAACATGTTAGAATTTTAATATTGATTCCTTTAGAATCAATATTCAAAAGGGGGGATTGTAATAATAAACTCCAGTCTCTTGCTTATTTGAACTATTTCATTAAAATAAATGGGGCTTCCCAAATGGCACTAGTGGTAAAGAACCCACCTGGCAATGCAGGAGACATAAGAGACGCGGGTTGGTTCCTGGGTTGAGATCACCTGGATCAGGGCACGGCAACCCACTCCAGTGTTCTTGCCTGCAGAATCCCATGGACAGAGAAGCCTGGTGGGCTATGGTCCATAGGGTCACAGAGAGTTGGACATGACTGAAGTGACTCAGCATGCTCACATACACACATTAAAATATATGCAGAATATAAAGGATGGATCATGGTTGTGTAAAAACAAAACTTTACCTTGAAAGACCCAGGAATGAGACACTCCAAAAGTTTTCTGGTACAATGAATTCAGGACCATGCCTTGTCTATTTTCCCTTATGTACACATTTTCTATTATGTGTCACTTTTGCAGTGGCAGAAAGTGACTAAAATTGTGAGCGTGGGACCAGATGGCAGGCCTGGGTCCTTCCCTGATGGCACGGCTATCTGATGGGTCTCAGCACATCTCAGCGTTGTTAGATGGTCTCCATCCAGAGGCACTGTGACCTAGACCGGGAGTGGGCGGGTGGGTTTCTGTCTAGCCTTTCACTGGAGAAAAGATCCATCCGAGTGCTGCTTTAGGCAGCTTCTCCAGGGCAAGACAGACGGTTCCCAGAGGTGAAAAGAGACCATCTTGAACTCCCTGTGGGAACTCCTTCTGGGTAGTCACAGAGGGGAAAGGTGGCAGAGAGGTAGTTGCATCAATACCAGCTTGTATGGGCTGACTGTACAAGCTCTGGAGTCTCACAGACCTAGGTAAATCTCAGCTCTGCCACTTACCGGCTGGGTGACTTAGGGAGTGACTTGGTGTTTGTTTATTCATTTATAAAAAGAGCACAGTAGTAGGTTGTGTTATAATGCAAAACATTTGTACTATATCCTCCCTCCTTGGTGGAGGATTGTACTTGTGTGTGCCATTAAGGTCATAGGTCATAAGGTCATTAACGGCCATGTGACCTGTAGTGTTCCTGCCTGCCCTTTGAACTCATGAGTGGTGGTTATGTGACTTACTGGGGCCAATGAAGTTCTAAGAGGGAGCTCATGACCCCAATCTCTCTTTCACCTCTACCATGACCCCAGCAGTGCCCAGTGTAGGGCTCCTCCATCAGCCTGGATCCCAGAGTAAAGATGACAAGGGTCAGAGTTGCAGCCAACTTGTGAAGGGCATGTGGCAAGAGTGAGAAGTAGATTCCATATGGCACAGAATTTTGAACGGTTGTCCATTGTTTCAATACAACCTAGTTTTCATTCTGGCTGAGACAAGAGTCCTCATGTGTTTGAGGACAGTACAAGATAACACATGTGAAATGTTTAGCCACCACCAGCTGGAACACAGGGATGTAGTGGTTTCCATAGGAGAGGTTATGTTGCAGTGAAAAAACAATCCACAAATCTCAGTGCCCAAACATAGCACATATTTATTTCTCACTCATCTTATACATCTAAAGGGGTTCATGTTCTTTGTAATCATGCATGGACTCTGGCTTATAGAGGCTTTATCTTGACATTTACTTTTCCAAGGCCCTAAGTCAGAAGTAGAATAAAAGAACTTAACCTCCAAGAGAAAACTAAGTGTCCATCACCAAGAGGGTACATTATACAGTGTATCTGTATAATTGAATACTATACAACAGTGAAAAATAACAAACCACATATATAAACCATATATAAAAAATTGAATGAAGCTCAGAAACAATGTTGAGCAGAAGAAATCAGATAGAAAAACATTCATATTCTATGATTGTATTTACAGAAAGACCCCCACTGCCCACCAGCAAAATTACAGTGTTAGAAGTCAAGGTGAAGGTTATCTTTTGGGCAGATAGTGGGTTATGAGAAAGACCTTGTGAGGACAGCGGTGGTCTCTTTTCCTGATGTAGGTGATGGCAGTTACACAATTACATCTCAGAAAGGTCTTCTCCACTCTCTATAAAATAGACCCCCATCCATCTCCATCTCTGCACCCCACTTCTCACTCATCATGACCTCCATGTTATATAGTCATATTGTCTTGCTGATCTTGCTGTGCTAATAGGTCAACCCCATAAGAGCAGAGAGTTTGGTTTGTTCTGTTCTCATTACCACTGTGCTGGAAATGTGCCCTCACATAGTAGTTGCTCAACAAACATTCATCACAAATGAAAGAATAAGGAGGAGGCCATAGAGAGAGAGAGGATAGAGTCAGGAGGACAGACAGGCAGTAGGATGGGGAACTCAGCTTTGTGCCAAGAAACAGAGATGCCTCCAGATTTAAGAGAGGCAGCAATGGATGGCATCAGGTTGAGTGGGGTTGGGGTGGGAGTGAGCAGGATGTTGAGGGAGGAGCCTTGGCACTGGTGAGGGAGTGCTTCAGAATGGAGGAGACAGCTCTCAGGAACCCCAAGGGAGTCAGAGGAGACTTCACAGGGGTGCAAGTGGCTGAAACAGAGCCTTAGGGCCCAGCAAGTTTCAAGACCATAAACTCCCAGGTCCCCAGCCTGGCTCAGAGGCTGATGAAAGGGGTGGATCACTGTGTTGGGCCAGGTCAAGCCCCTATTCACAGTGATCCAGGGTATCCTAGAAGATGGGGTGGATGTTTCAGGTCTCATGGATGGGGTGAGGGGTCTTCACAAGTTCAGAGAGGTGAGGTTCAGCCTATGATAACGACTAACATTCCAGAGCACCCATGAGGCCAGGCCCCTACTAAGCATGGACTGGCCACACTAGCCCTGTGATCACATCCATTAAACAGGTGAGGTTGTGCTTGCCCAGGGCTCCCTCGCTGTTCAAGCTTGAACCCAGTCTGTCCGTCTTCCAGCGTCTGAGGTCACGGCCACTTTCTGTACTGAGTTAGAGAGGGGAGAGGGGAATGGACAGAGTGGGACTCCGCTGTTAGGCACATGGGACCAGAGCAGCCCAGGCTGGTGGGTGAGAGAGGGTGTGAGAGTCAGCCTCTTTCCCTTCCCTGGTGGCTCAGACGGTGAAGTGTCTGCCTGCAATGTGGGAGACCGGGGTTCGATCCCTGGATCAGGAAGATACCCTGGAGAAGGAAATGGCAACCCACTCCAGTATCCTTGCCTGGAAAACCCCATGGACAGAGGAGCCTAGTAGGCTATAGTCCATGGGGTCGCAAAGAGTCGGATACGACTGAGGGTCCTTGCATTTACCTGGCCCTTGCACTGAATCTGCACACCTGTGCTAAGAGGTGGGCGTGCTTGCAGAAGCTGAGGTAGGGGACAGGTGGGGGACCTGCCCTGGGTCACTCAGCATCCAGGAGATGTTGGCAGAGCCTCAAGCTGCTCCTGGGTCCTGCCCTTTCAATTATGCCCTGCAGGGTGCTGGTGGGGGTGGGGAGGAACTTTCACCTCCTTATAGGTTTATTCTGGGTGTTTCTAAGGAATAAAAGCCCAGCTCTAGCTTCAGAAACTCCCTCTCACTCCCCAGCCAGAAACCTCAGGGGGCTTCCACCTTCTCCAGCCTTTCTCATAACCCCAGCCTCCTGCCTTAGTCCCTTCTGAACTCTTCTGCCTCCACTGCAGTTTGGGGGATGCCTGGAGTCCCCCTGCCCCTCGCCCCCAACAGTTGAGAAGAGCATCACAGAATTGCAGGGGTTCGAGAGACCAGCTGCACCCCCACCTGGGTTTTGAACCCCTATTTCAAGCCAAGGGCCCCTTCAGCTCTGGTACCTGTCGGGGGCAGCCTGCACCATCTCTCCCTTTCCAAAGAGGTGTTGCTGAACACCTAAGAAGGCCTGCTGGTGTCTGTGCGGTTGGGCAGAAGTGTATCCATTTACCCGCCCCCAACACCTCTGAAGCTCCCCTTCTCTTCTAAGCTCGCCACCCACCAGGAGTACCTGGGCACGCAAAAAAAGTGAAGTTGCTCGGTCGTGACCGACTCTTTGCAACCCCATGAAGCCCGCCAGGCTCCTCCATCCATGGGATTTTCCAGGCAAGAGTACTGGAGTGGGTTGCCAGTTCCTTCTCCAGGGGATCTTCCCGACCCAGGGATTGAACCCGGGGCTCCCGCATTGCAGGCAGACGCTTTACCGTCTGAGCCACCGGGCACGCAAAGTGGCCCCTAAATGCTTAGCTGCCCAGTGCCTCCCGCCAGCTGGTCACCTCCTTCCTCCCTCGCTCGCTGGCAAACCCACGGACCAAAGGTGTCCATCCGTGAGACTGAGAGCGCAGAGGGGCAGCTTCTGCCGGGGGGCGCGGCTCCACCTGCAGGGTGCTGGGCGGCGGGCGCGCGGCGGGAGGCGCGGGCCGCGGGGGCGGAGGAGCGGGCGGCGCGAGGGAGGGGCCTGCGACAGCGGCGGCGGCGGCAGCGGCGGCCCCAGTCCGCGCAGCCCGGCTCGGCCCCGGCTCGGTCGGCGCAGCGCCGCGCGCGTCCCCTCCCGCCGCCGCTGCCGCCGCCGCCGCCGCAGCCAGGCGCACCGGCACCCAGCCGCCGCCACCGCCGCCGCCGGGGCGCACGGACGCAGCGCGCACCGCCGGCCGGGATGCGCGCCCGGGACCCGGCCCGTCCCCACCCGCGGCCGCCGCCCGCCCGCCGCGCGCAAGCCTGACCGCGGCGCCCGCCTCGGCCGCCCTCGCCCGTTCCCCGGCAGCCCCCTGGTCGCGCGATGCCCGCCCTCCGGGGCCCCGGCGGCCCGCGCCCCTGCTAGGCTGCGGCGGCATGGCCCGCGCGCCCGGCGCGACCTCTGCGGATTGCATCGGTGTGCGGCGGCGGGGCATGCCCAGGGCACCGGGCACGGCCTTCAATGGGCGAGGACGCGGACACGCGGAAAATTAACCACAGCTTCCTGCGGGACCACAGCTATGTGACTGAAGGTAACGTACGTGTTGTCTGAGGCCCCTTCCGGCCGGCCGCGGCGTGGGGATGCCGTCGCACCGAATGCCCTCCGAAGGTTTGGACCGCGCGCTGTGTGTCGTGTCCCCCCCACCCCACCCTACCCCACCCCCGCCCCGGTCCGGGAGGGAGGGAGCTGGAGGGCGCCGATCCCCTGCTGCTCGGTAGCCGGACAAGGCAGCGCCCTCCTCCGCGCCGCCCTCCGGCGGGCAGCTTTCCGCCTCCAGGCCCGGTGGCGCCCTGAATCGGCCCCGGCCCTCATTTTTTGTAAAGGCCACCTCTGCGGCTACTCTGGTGAAGACATCCCGGGCGCTTTTAGTGGCTTAAAATCCTGGGTTTGCCCTTTCATCCCAGTCCAGAGCCCGGCAGAATTTTCTAGGCTGCCCACTCCCCGCAGACTAAGAGCGACCCAAGAGGAGGGGAAAAAAAAAAAAAAAAATTCCGTGGCCAGATTGCCCCAGAGGCTCGAGGTTTTCGGCCCCTCCCTGTGCCCAGAAGCAAGGTCCCTTAGCCGGTGAGAGAAGGCGGCTGGTTTGGGGTGGATCTTTTCTTCCTGGTGAATAAACAGGAACAGCTGACCCTGCACTGTCTGAACTACAAAGTGGGACCTGCTACCCCAAACGGGCCCTGCATTGGAAATCCCCTAAATGGGCCTTAGTCCCCACTCCGAGGCTGGTGGGATCTAGAGGGTTAGCGACCCCTTCTTATAAGCCAGTAGTAACTTCAAGGGTCCCCCGGCTCCACCCTGCCCAGAGAAAGGTGGGGAAGCTCCCAGGCCTTAGCCAGGCGCCCGCGGATTGGAGCCTCCATTGCGGATGGGGAAGGGCCGGCCGCGCGGGGTGTCGGCACGCATTGGTGGGGACGCCTTGTGCCCGGAGACCTTCCCGGGTTAAGGGGCTTAACTGCGTCTTCCCTAGGGGCTGCCGGACTGGCTGCAGAGGTGTTGGTGGGTTTTAGCAAGAGGTCCCCTGGTGGGTGCTTCCGTGGGAGGGGCCCAGGGCTTTGCGTGCCGCGGGGTTGGGGCGCGTGGGAGCCCGGGTCAGGAACCCGTGTGGGCTCCGAGCGGTGGTGACTCGACTAAGGGCGCTGTCCAGCCAGCGCCGATGCCAGGCTCCGCCGGAAATGAGGCCGAGGAGCCCATCGCCGGAGCCCTGCGGAGGCCTGGAGAGCGCCTGGCCAGCGCGGGGTGGGCTCCCAGGCGTCCCAACCCAGGGATGCTGAGGCTGGATGTGTTGCCTGGGCGGAGTATAGGCTGGAGAGTGGCGCTCCCCGCTCCGGGAGGAGAAGCGCTGAGTCACGCTTTGCTGATAGGTGTGTAGGGAGAGGGGGCAGGGCTGCTGGGGCTAGCTGAGGGCTCTGCCTCAAGTTAGAGGTCCGGGGCATCTGAAAGGGGTCCTTTGTCGCCGGCCTTGGAGAGGCCGAGGAAGGATCAGTGTGTTTCCTGGGTGTTCTTTCTGCTGGCAGCCTGCTGAGAGGCAGAGGTGAAAGGCTGCTGAGTTGCTGGCAGGTGCCCCAGTGGTCTGGCTGGAGCCAGGAGAGGGGATCTTGGCAGGTCATCTGATCTGGCTTTCTGGAGGAAGCCTCTGCTTTCTCATCTCTGCACGGAGGATGCTGGAACAAGGCGCTGGACTCTGACTTAGAGTAAAAAGTACTGCCTGACTCATAGTGGACATTGGCAAACCCGAATTTCTTCTTTATCCTGTCTCTCCCCATTTTTCTCACGAATTCACCAGCTCTTAGAAGGGAGGAACAAGGGAGACGTGCGTAGTTATCAGAGTAGGGGGTGATGATTGTTAATTCTTCATTCATGCAACAAATATTTACTGACCACCTACTAGTGTTTTAACCCTGGGGATTGGACACAGGTCCTGCCCCCTGGCAGCCTGTATTCTAGAAGGGAGCCCCATTATGTGGACAGATCTCTTTCCACATCTGTGAAATGGGAGTGAATAATACCACCCTGCCTACAAGTTTAGGGTTTATGTGGGGGTTAGGTGAGATGGTGGGCTTCCTTGGTGGCTCAGACGGTAAAGAATCCACCTGCAATGTGAGAGACCTGAGTTCGATCCCTGGGTTGGGAAAATCCCCTGGAGGAGGGCATGGCAACTCACTCCAGTGTTCTTGCCTAGAGAATCCCCATGGACAGGGGAGCCTGGCAGGTTACAGTCCATGGGGTTGTAAAGAGTTGGACACGACTGAGCGAGTCAGCACAGCACAGCACAGGTGAGATGGTGGATGAAGGACTGACCCCAGAACTACAAATTGTGAACTGGCAGCCTACATGTGTGGAGAACCCATTATGTGTTGAGGCCTCACAGGAGCTCCGCATACCCCACATGCCCATTTTATAGATGAAGAAACTGAGGCTTAGCCTTTGTCCACATCCCAGACTGGATCCCACTGTGTGCAGGGCATAGGGCTCTGGTCCTAGGGATGCAGCGAGGAACAGGATTCAGAGTTCCTGCCCTCGGAGAGCACGGTCTAGTCAAGAAAGCAGTAACAATAATTATTAGAATTATATGGGATTTCTGGCCACCCTGCGTAGAAACAGACCTTCCTACGATTGCATCTTGCCCACATTTTGTGCTCAGAGCACAGAGCAGGTCACAGATTTGGGTGTCAGACAGCGCACGTGCATGCTCGGTCGAGTCCGTTGTGTTAACTTTTTGTGACCCCATGGACTGTTGCCCGCCAGGCTCTTCTGTCCATGAGGATTCTCCAGGCAAGAATACTGGAGTGGGTTGCCATGCTCTCCTTCAGGAAATCTTCCCAACCCAGGGATCGAACCCATGTCTCCTGTGGCTCTTGCATTGCAAGCGGATTCTTTTACCACTTGAGTCACCGGGGAAGCCTCAGATGTCAGACAGACTTGCATTCAATTCCTACTTCTGAATCTTCATGTGCTGTGCAACAGACACAAGTTACTAAACCTTTCTGAGCTTCACTTTCCCCCTCTAAACAGAGAAGTAATAATGACTTGTCTTAAAGGATTGTTGGGAATATCAGTGGTTATGCTAATATAGACCACATCTGGCACAGTGCTTTTGGCCTGTTGGAAGCATTTTATACATGGTACTGTTAGAATTTTAAAGTCTTGTTCCTGGAGGAGCTTCACAAGCAAATAATGGATGCTGGGAGTTTGTAAAAGTGCCAGGTGTACAAATCCCTGTTCCAGCTGGTCATTTGGCCGCAAACACTAACACCCCAGTGACTGTGATCTACTTCTGTTCCTTAAGGAGGGCGTTTTTTTTCTTTCTCTCAAGGTATTTGCACTGGCTGTGTCCACTACCTGGAATACCCACCTCCTCCTCTTCCTTCTCATCCTTTAGGTCTCGAGTTAAATGTCATATTCACCAGTGGGAGCCCAGTTCCCTAATTTCCTCTTGTAAAATCCCAAATGCCTTAGGTTTTGTTAGTCATTCACACCTTGTGATCACTAGGCATGGACATGTGTCACTGTGGAACACAGAAGACTTTGCAGAATGGATGTGTATTGGGGGAGAGCAGTATAGTTAAGTTTCTCAGGACAGTGGAAGGACCTAAACCCTAGAGAAAGGGGTCCCAGGGATCAGAGAATGCCAAGGACTCTCTGTTTAGACTTTTCTCAAGAGCCAGATACGACTCCAAGAAGGACTCTTCCTGGCTATGTTCTCTTGCTGCAGTCCTAGAACTCAGGTTTTCATTTGTTTGTTTAGTCTTGAATTCCTGTCCAACTCTTTTTGCAGCCCCGTAGGCAATAGCCTGCCAGGCTCCTGTGTCCATGGGATTTCCCAGGAAAGAATACTGGAGTGGGTTGCCATTTCCTTCTCCGGGGGATCTTGCTGACTCAGGGACTGAACCCAAGTCTCCTGCATTGACAGTTGGATTCTTTATCACTGAGCCCCCAGGGAAACCCGGACTCAACTTTAGGGTGAGTTAAATAGACATTTCTAGGCTAGACTGGATCTAAGAAATACGTTCATCCTCTTTCATGCAGTAGCATTTACCAAGCACATTCTTCTCTGCATCTGGGTCTGGGCAGGCAGGGATGAGCCAGGGTATTTCCATTCCCCCTTACAGTGACTGGTTCGAAAATGAACATGGGAGTCCTTTCTGGGAGAGCAGAGAGAGCTGCAGGAAGCTGGTCCCTTTCTTGTGATGGGACACAGAACCCACCCCCCCGCCCCCCGCCGGCAGCTGCCTTGAAACCATGGTGGAAGCCGGTCTTAAGCCAACAATACAGTTGCTGTCAGAGTAGAGAGTGAGTGAGATGTTGGTGACTCCCGGATTAACCAGGCCTAATGTTCACCCTACCTCTGGGCTTCCAGTTCCATAAGCTGCTATATGTACTCATTGCTTCAGACTTGAAGCCAAGTCTCTGTTACTTACAGCCAGCAGCACCCCTACCCATACAACTTTTACTGATTGTCAGAAAAACAGAAAGGCTGCCCTGTCACTCATGACCGAAACACAGATGCTTAAAACCAGGAGGTGGCTAGGTTTGTGTGTGTGTGTGTTCTGTTTTGGAAATCCTCTTTAGCCTCTTTCATGTACTCAAGTTAAAGTTGCAGAGTTCTGATTTCCCCTCCTGGTGCTTCTAGCCACATGAAGGATCCCAAGATCTGCTATCAGGATTCCTAGGTTCCCGGTGGGGTCTGGAGACCTGCATTCCTCGTGAGGTCTGCTCTGGGTCTGTAATCTTGGGCAGGAGCCTTAGTTTCTGTTCCAGGTTCTTCCACAGATCACTTGAAATGAGGGATGTGCAAGTGTTTGATGTTGTTGGGTCATCTCTGTGGACTCCCCACCATGCTTTGTGAGTGGAATACATTCAGTGGACTCATGGCATTAAGTGGCTTGGTGTATGTGATCATACCCAGCCCAGGGCCTGGGGCACAGTCAGGACTTAATAGATATTGTCCATAAATAATAATGTCTGTTCTTTAGAAGTTGGAGTCAGACTAGCTCTTAGCTGCATATTCCCTGGTGGCTCAGATGGTAAAGA